AAGTTTTAGGATAATGTTTTCCTTTTTTGTATTTAGCATTGTTTAATGTTTAGGCTTGGACAACATCTATGAGCTTATGGACTCAATGTGCATATGGAACTTGTGTCTTAGTCGAATTAGGATTCTGTTTTCTCTAAATATTGCATTTGACTTGCTACAGTTCAGATTTTCTTATGAATTACAATGATTTGTTACAATTTTTAATAGTTTTAATTTATATATATATATATATTTTTTTACTTTAGGGAGGTTCTTTGGAATTTTTTTCATTTGAATTTCCATGAATATTTTACATTTTTCTTTAGGACAGCTTGAAATTAGAACTCATCCCTTGTAATTTTGAATAGCAAAAAAAACAAAACAAAAAACAAAAACACATTTGTCACATTTTGACAGCTTTAATAGAACACAAACAATATTGAAAGATGCTATGGTGAGTCACTAAGGCAGAAACAGGGTAAAGAGTTCATCAGTATGTGGCAGTTTATGATGAAGAGATTTGTGCCAAAAACATGCTGTGTTGAGGGGGTTGCTAGAATTTGGAAGGGAGCTGGTTTTATGGACCATTTGAGAATAAGATAGGGCACTTTGGCATTAGGATTGATGGGTTTTCCTTGCATACCTATCTCACTGTTAAGAAACTAAATTAAGTTCTTAAGCTAAATTGAACCTTTTCCACAGGACCTCCTATTTATAGCTTCTTTATATCAATTAGGAATCAAGGTGAATTACTTTTGTACAAAATACAGTAGTAATGTATAGTTTAATAGATTCTAATAATGTAACTATCTGTGTCTCCCAGGTACAGCTTATGGTTCTAATCAATGTTTTTTTTTTTCTCACCCAAAATGTCTTTAAAGAACTAGATACTTATTAACAGATAGCATTTTTTATAACTGTCAGTTATGCATGGATTAGAATAGTATCACATATTTGTGTTCGTCCCCCCTCACATGGTATTGTTCTCTACCCTTCTTGTGTCACGGACTCCAGGGTAAGGGACTTCTGCTACCCAACAAGGTACTCTTTCATGTCCATTCTGTGACCATCTGTCCTAACCCAGTATTAGGTGGCAGTAGATTACCAAATTCATTATATGAACAACAAAAACAAAACAAAAAACAAAAAAAAGAAGAAGAAAAACTACAACATCATCAGATTTCTTCTTCATAACAGAAGCATGCTGAAAGTGTTTGTGGAATGTTTATAGAATTTATTAATTGTATTTACAGTTTCCCTGGACTGCATCTGCCTAGTTGGCTTACAATAGTTTTATCATATTTCCATGTGCCAATATCAGACTCCTTTGTTTGTTGCTGCAGTGTATTGGTTAGAGGCATATTACTTTGTCTGCACAGGGCATCAGTGTATGTGTGGAGCCCAGTGCTGATAATGTAATAGTTTACTGCATGATTTGTGTGTGCTGGACACATGTGATGGGCTGTGTGTGTCTTCCAGTGCACTTCCTCTTGGTGTTCTGCAGTCATGTATGACCATGCTCTGCAGCAGCAAAGTGGTGTTTGCATATTAGGCCTTAGGTGTGTGGCTGCTTGTGCTCGTCTAACTAACCCCTTAACTCAACTAACAGGTTTTGATGTGGTTTGTGGACTTTGGCAACTCTGACCGAGTGCCGTCCGCCAGCCTAAGGCCGCTGGAAGGTGTCAATGAACGTCTGACCAAAATCCCACATCAGGTAAACAACTGCAAGGGTTTTGATGACTTTTCACAAATGGTTGTTTATGTCAGACAGTGAACTTGATAGGCATGTGGTATGAAAGAGCTAAGGTAAGATGAGGAGGAGGCCTCAACAAACAGCAAGGGGAAGGACAGGCAAATATCTTCTATGAAAAACAAAACTAACATGAGTAAGTTTTATTATTATTATCACATTTATTTTCCTCTGTTATTATTCCTTCATTCAACCATCATTTTGACCCACAACAATAGCACTTGATGATAATCATGGTAGAAATTATGAACTTTTCCTTGTTTTCTTAATATCTAGTTCTTTTTGGTTTGTTAAATTAGAATATAGGAAATAAAGGTACATAGTAATTCTTTCTTTTCTTTTACAGTATTCATGCAAAAATTTGTTGGTATACCACAAATTATGGAATAGCTTTAATGCAATACAAATTAAAGATTTTGCTGCTTAGCCAGCTTCTTGCTTTTCCTGCTTAGCAAAGCAATCATTGTTTTTTTTTCTTTTTTAATTAGTGCCTGCTGTTTAGGTACAAAAGATTAAGAATAAATTATTGGTACTTAGTTCATACTCATATTTTCCTTTGTTTTTATTTTGTTTTATTTCTTTTCTTGTTGGAGTCTCCCCTTTCTATCTTACATGATTATACTCTTGGAATTTTGCAGTTACAGTTAAAGCGTCATGTAAACTCATTTGCACGCAACATGTTTTGAGTGCATGGTCATGTTATAGCTTAAATATACTGTTGTTCACTGGCTGATTACCAAGAATCGGTATTATCATCACAGACTCTGAAGCAGAGAAGAAGCTAAATATTGCTAAGTGGTAAATGTTAAGGAACCTTTTTCACATTATTAGAAATACAGCAAACATTGTAGGCATAACAAGAGATGATTCACACTTCATGTTGATTGCATTTTTTCCCATTACACAGCAACACTTGAGAGATCTATCCCAGGTCTTGGCCCTTCTAGGTATGCGTTTTGGAAAGAGGGAAAGTGAAAAGAGGGGATGAGGAGAAAAAGATACTTTGTGGTCAAAAGAGGACATTGTACATGTCATTAGTGTGGTGGTGGTTATCAATTTTTGGTAAAATTGTGTATTTTTTCAGAATAATCCTTGCTATTGGAAGGTAAATCATTTATTTTAATCTTATGATTAACCACCCAATGTTTGTCCTGTGTTTTTTGTTGGTTGAATGTCTCAAAAGTTCTTTTGTCATGAATGTGGTCTAATATGTAAATATGTAAAAAAAACAAAAAAGAGAGAAATGTGTACATATATCATTTAACAAGACAGGCAGTGATTTATTAAATTAAGTCATTCATTTATTTTTATTTTTTTAAATATTTTTTAACATGATTGCATTACTTGCCTTCAAAATACTAACTTTAGTTTAGTTGGTCATAATATTTTCACTGTTTTGCAAATGGAGAGAAGACTTGGAAGATCTGCACAGTGGCACATGAAAAGTTTGCTGATGCCACTCGGGCCAAGAACGAGAATGGGCATATAGAATAACGTATTTGCATGACAAGCCAGTTCTGTCATATTTTTATGATTCAAAACCCCTTGGATCTGGATGATGTGGACATGTGTGTGTGGGCTGTGTGTACAAGCAGCACACCTGGGAGAGTCGCCACTCAAGGAAGACAACTGCTCGGATTTTGGTCTATGTGCTTGCCGTGAGACACCGGGTTCCGTGTTGATATCTCCTTAAGAATATAGGAGCCAGAGAACATTTGTATTATGACATCTTAGACAATTTGCTGTGTTTCTGATAAAGTTGGAATATTTTTCTTTCATATTAGGAAACAGAATATTTGTTTTAAAAATCAGTTTTAGATCATTCTCTTTGAAACCTGAATGTAAGTTAGGTTGCTTGTGTTGACGCAAGAATTATAATCTAGAAACGAAAATGAAAATTCTCGGTTGCTAATACTGTCAACTCTTTAGGCCCTCTTATGTCGCCTGCACAATGTACCATCTGCTGGCTTGGAATGGACTGAACGTGCTTGTCACCGATTAATGGAGCTGTTGCCGGAGGACTCCCCTCTGCTTCTAAAGGTTTGTATTTTGTATTAGTTCAGGTGTACATCAGCATTTGTTAGCAACTTACTGGTAGTGAATCTTAAATGTCATGTAATATTACTGATGTTTAGCTTATTAAGTTTATTTATAAGGTTCTTTTTCAGCTTATAGTGTGTAAATGTACATAAATTGTGCTTTACGGCAAGCAAGAAATAGAGAACAGTAGTTACTGTTCTTTCAAGAGTAACAAGGGTACCATTCTCCTGAGGATTTTTCTGTGCTAGAATTGCATTTATTTTATTGTATTCCCATCACTCTACAGGTGCAAGCTGTTAAAAGTAATGGTCCTCCTTTGGTTGAGCTATTCAAGCGTTTACAGCCTCAAAATGAGCTGGTGTCCATAAATGCTACTCTCAGCATAGACAACAGTCTCTTCAGGTATGATATCTGAATTTTTATGTACTACATCATTAGGCCTTGTCTTGTAAAGTAAAAAAGAAAGATAAAAAACATACATTAATGGTATTAGTAAAGCAATAGATATTACAAAGATGTACGTTTATCTTTCATTTAGAAATGATGGTGATAGCAATAACAATAGCGTCAACAAGGAGGTGGTCCTTTCCCCTTCGCGAACAAGATCACGACGTTCTTCTACAAACAGCCAAACTTCCAGCAGCTCTGGTGAGTGATTTCAATGGGAAGGGGTAAGCTCTCAGTGCCTTTGGGAAAATGGAGCCAATTCTGGTCAAAGAACTGTTCCTCTCTGGCTCCCTGAGTTTGGTTATTACACTAGCACTTAGGTTCTAAAAGACACTAGATAGCATGGGAAAGTCACATGCTATGGATCCTCCTGCAGAGATGCAGACTTCCAAAACTTGTTGAAAATGATTTAATCAAACTTTTTTATAGTAAAGCTTTCAGGAATTAAAAAATATTGTGAATAAATAGAAGAAACACTGAACAAAAACTGAATAATCTCTCAAATTGCCACTCGACTCTAGCAGGCCTATACTTTGGCCAACTGTGATTTAGGAGCCTTAGATGAAGAGAGTTAAAAGTTGGTGAATTGCTAATAAAGATAGCAAATGTCTTTTGTCCTTTTTCTGAAATTTGTTAACCTGGTTGCTTTACAGCAATCACATGGCCCAAAATAGGGGCATTAGGCTTATGTGAGTTCCCACTCTGACAGGTGTGTGGCTTATTGGAAAGGCACACGTAAACACTTGTGTGTGGTGACATGATTCTATGCCTCCCCTTGGTATTTTCTCTTTTTAAGCATTAACATTTTTAGCTTATTTGCCATTTTCCAATGTCCATATTTGTCATTTGATTTACTTTGTTCAGATGGTTGTAGACTCTCTTCCTTGCACAGATTCCATATCATATTTCTCAGTAGTCCATAACTCAGTGTAAGAATAATAACAATAAGGAACAGGTTGTGTTTATTTATTTATTTATTTATTTATTTATTTAGAAATGATGGTGATAGCAATAACAATAGCGTCAACAAGGAGGTGGTCCTTTCCCCTTCGCGAACAAGATCACGACGTTCTTCTACAAACAGTCAAACTTCCAGCAGCTCTGGTGAGTGATTTCAATGGGAAAGGGTAAGCTCTTAGTGCCTTTGGGAAAATGGAGCCAATTCTGGTCAAAGAACTGTTCCTCTCTGGCTCCCTGAGTTTGGTTTGATTTGAGTCCAGATTCAGAGGTTTAGCCTTATTGCACCAGCACTTAGGTTCTAAAAGACACTAGATAGCATGGGAAAGTCACATGCTATGGATCCTCCTGCAGAGATGCAGACTTCCAAAACTTGTTGAAAATGATTTAATCAAACTTTTTTATAGTAAAGCTTTCAGGAATTAAAAAATATTGTGAATAAATAGAAAAAAACACTGAACAAAAACTGAATAATCTCTCAAATTGCCACTTGACTCTAGCAGGCCTATACTTGGGCCAACTGTGATTTAGGAGTTGCTTTACAGCAATCACATGGCCCAAAATAGGGGCATTAGGCTTATGTGAGTTCCCACTCTGACAGGTGTGTGGCTTATTGGAAAGGCACACGTAAACACTTGTGTGTGGTGACATGATTCTATGCCTCCCCTTGGTATTTTCTCTTTTTAAGCATTAACATTTTTAGCTTATTTGCCATTTTCCAATGTCCATATTTGTCATTTGATTTACTTTGTTCAGATGGTTGTAGACTCTCTTCCTTGCACAGATTCCATATCATCTTTCTCAGTAGTCCATAACTCAGTGCAAGAATAATAACAATAAGGAACAGGTTGTGTTTATTTATTTATTTATTTATTTTTATTTTATTTATTTATTTTTTTTGTAGTATTCAATCTTTTGTAATACAACCTGTACCTCTGGTCACAGCAGGCCAGGAATAGTACATTGAGCATGTAAATGGCATCCTCCTTTGAGCCTTGGAGATTATTGATGGAAATAATGCACATTCTGGCTATAGTTTGACAAGAATGAAGTGTATTAGCATGCATCACTCCACAACAGGGCTATTGTCTGGTTCATGGCAGGGCTCTTGAGATATCTACTTATCAGGCTGGAAGAGTGCTCATGATGGGAATTAGATGCCTATTGGAGTTAGTGAATTTTTAACCATGATGAAACACTGCCTGGTATGATAATTAAAAGGCACAAGGTGTAATAACATTGTCTTATTTGAACTCTCACTTGATTTTTCCCAATAGGTCTGAACTCGGGCCCATCATCTATGAACAGTTATTATGAATCGACCCCAACTTCGCCGCGTCCTGGGGCACTGATTCCTATGGAGGTGCCTCGTGTTGGGGAATACTTCGATGTTTATGTAACTTATGCTGCTAGCCCATCAAACTTTGCTGTAAGTAGGGTTCAAATTCAGTACTTACATTCACATGACAATCTTACTAAATTGTTTACCATTGGAAAATCACTATTATAATTTCAAGGAGGAGTGTAGGAAATTGATACTGTTTTCTTATTTTTGATGATATTAGATTCTTGATCAGTCTGATTTATTTTAAAAGTAACTAAAGACTCAACTTTCTCCATTATAGAATGCATTGTCAAATTTTTAACTGTCAAATTTTTAACTATTGCTAATTGTATTAATTACAGGTTCAGTCCTGGAAGATGACCAAGAAATTGTCTGCCTTGATGTCCAAGATGCATGTGTACTACAACAATGCTAACAATCTCCAGACACTTGATGAACTTCAGGCTGGAGGCTTCTATGCAGTCAAGCACAGTGATGATTCTTGGTACAGGTATGCAAGGAGGTTCATTGTTAATCCATCACAGCTTTATCCTTGTCCTCCTCATCATCATCCTCATCTTTATCCTTGTCCTCCTCATCATCATCCTCATCTTTATCCTTGTCCTCCTCATCATCATCCTCATCTTTATCCTTGTCCTCCTCATCATCATCCTCATCTTTATCCTTGTCCTCCTCATCATCATCCTCATCTTTATCCTTGTCCTCCTCATCATCATCCTCATCTTTATCCTTGTCCTCCTCATCATCATCCTCATCTTTATCCTTGTCCTCCTCATCATCATCCTCATCTTTATCCTTGTCCTCCTCATCATCATCCTCATCTTTATCCTTGTCCTCCTCATCATCATCCTCATCTTTATCCTTGTCCTCCTCATCATCATCCTCATCTTTATCCTTGTCCTCCTCATCATCATCCTCATCTTTATCCTTGTCCTCCTCATCATCATCCTCATCTTTATCCTTGTCCTCCTCATCATCATCCTCATCTTTATCCTTGTCCTCCTCATCATCATCCTCATCTTTATCCTTGTCCTCCTCATCATCATCCTCATCTTTATCCTTGTCCTCCTCATCATCATCCTCATCTTTATCCTTGTCCTCCTCATCATCATCCTCATCTTTATCCTTGTCCTCCTCATCATCATCCTCATCTTTATCCTTGTCCTCCTCATCATCATCCTCATCTTTATCCTTGTCCTCCTCATCATCATCCTCATCTTTATCCTTGTCCTCCTCATCATCATCCTCATCTTTATCCTTGTCCTCCTCATCATCATCCTCATCTTTATCCTTGTCCTCCTCATCATCATCCTCATCTTTATCCTTGTCCTCCTCATCATCATCCTCATCTTTATCCTTGTCCTCCTCATCATCATCCTCATCTTTATCCTTGTCCTCCTCATCATCATCCTCATCTTTATCCTTGTCCTCCTCATCATCATCCTCATCTTTATCCTTGTCCTCCTCATCATCATCCTCATCTTTATCCTTGTCCTCCTCATCATCATCCTCATCTTTATCCTTGTCCTCCTCATCATCATCCTCATCTTTATCCTTGTCCTCCTCATCATCATCCTCATCTTTATCCTTGTCCTCCTCATCATCATCCTCATCTTTATCCTTGTCCTCCTCATCATCATCCTCATCTTTATCCTTGTCCTCCTCATCATCATCCTCATCTTTATCCTTGTCCTCCTCATCATCATCCTCATCTTTATCCTTGTCCTCCTCATCATCATCCTCATCTTTATCCTTGTCCTCCTCATCATCATCCTCATCTTTATCCTTGTCCTCCTCATCATCATCCTCATCTTTATCCTTGTCCTCCTCATCATCATCCTCATCTTTATCCTTGTCCTCCTCATCATCATCCTCATCTTTATCCTTGTCCTCCTCATCATCATCCTCATCTTTATCCTTGTCCTCCTCATCATCATCCTCATCTTTATCCTTGTCCTCCTCATCATCATCCTCATCTTTATCCTTGTCCTCCTCATCATCATCCTCATCTTTATCCTTGTCCTCCTCATCATCATCCTCATCTTTATCCTTGTCCTCCTCATCATCATCCTCATCTTTATCCTTGTCCTCCTCATCATCATCCTCATCTTTATCCTTGTCCTCCTCATCATCATCCTCATCTTTATCCTTGTCCTCCTCATCATCATCCTCATCTTTATCCTTGTCCTCCTCATCATCATCCTCATCTTTATCCTTGTCCTCCTCATCATCATCCTCATCTTTATCCTTGTCCTCCTCATCATCATCCTCATCTTTATCCTTGTCCTCCTCATCATCATCCTCATCTTTATCCTTGTCCTCCTCATCATCATCCTCATCTTTATCCTTGTCCTCCTCATCATCATCCTCATCTTTATCCTTGTCCTCCTCATCATCATCCTCATCTTTATCCTTGTCCTCCTCATCATCATCCTCATCTTTATCCTTGTCCTCCTCATCATCATCCTCATCTTTATCCTTGTCCTCCTCATCATCATCCTCCTCTTTATCCTTGTCCTCCTCATCATCATCCTCATCTTTATCCTTATCCTCCAACAAGCCATGACTAACTTTATTTTGATTCCAATGCCATCAGCATGTTGATTTAATTTTTTTCTTGAGAGACATCAATCTTATTTGACTAATATATACAACACAAATTGATTACTTGCAGGCATATCAGCGGCAAACCTAGACTGGACCCCAGAGGACTGTTGCCGCTTCCAGGAGCTTGTTGAGTACCGGGAGTTTGTCTCGATTGTGGCAAACATTGAATCCGCAAATGACAGTGATGGCTATGTAATCTCGCTTAGACTTATTAACACATCAGACCCCAAACTTGATGTGTACATTGATCAGATTTTGGTGGATGAGGGGAGAGCAGTGAGACAGCATGTGCAGTAGGTTATTTTGGCATTGAATTGCTTTTGTTTACATTGTATTTGCATGTGTATTTAGAAGGTAAAGCTATGCACAGGAAGTATGCAAATTGTTTCAAGGGTCAATAATAGACGCTTGAAAAAGATTGTTTATGCAGCTAAGTTAAAGTTTGTGAAAGGGTTTGCTGAAATGTAGTTTCGACTTGATTAGCTGTATAAGTATATTTTTTCTTGGGCTTTTTCCCCCCCTTGTCTTTTTGGTATAATCATGCGGAATTGAGAAGGAAATGCATATTACTAAAATTGTTTATTTGTAAGCATCATAGTTTTGGAACTGTTTGTTATTTATCTTGTACAGTTTGCTTGTGTGATGTCTTACGTTAGTTTGCTTATGAGATATCCTAATGTATGCTTAAAACACCTACTGTCTTGGAAAAAAAAAATCATGAAAAAAATAATAACCAATATAAAGGAATATAACCATAGTTTCACTGAGCAGCTTTAAGCATAAATTTTAGCATTTCTTACATGTATATAATCTAAAGAGATAAGACCTTGTGCTGTCTCCTGTTCAGTAAAATGGAGATAAAGTTAGATCTGTAAGCCCCCACCTTATCTGAACAATGTATTTGTGTATTGTTGCAAATTTCAGTAAGACTTGTAATTGTTTTTTTATATATCGTAGCAAGGCTTATTGAAATGCTAAAGAAAGCTTTAAGCTGGAAAAAAAAGCCATCACCAATATATCTGTGATTGTTCCGTTCTTCCCAGTATTGTTCTAGCAGCTCTTTGTGAGGAGACTGTTCTTGTTTGTAGACATAGTCTTCTCTGCAGAATTTCTAAGTGGAGAGGATATTGTGCTGATTTTATTTTGTATCTTAAATAAGTTATAGTTTTTTTCTTGGAAAATTTACTCATTACTTGCCTTCCCCCTAGTAAGCAAGCAAAGCAAGCAAGCAAGCAGACAAGCAAGCATGATGTACTGTAAGAGAACCTCAGATATGGTGCAAGGGGGACCATAATATGGGCTGCTTGGGCTCAACTTGTTTATTGGCATCTAGATGTAGATTGCCCCATAACAGTTCTGACAATAAAACCTCCAAAAAAAAACGTGTAAAAACAAAACTTTAAAAAACCATACAAAAAAAATAAATAAATAAATAAAAAATGATACCAAAAACAAAGGGAACGATCTAATATTCAAACATGATTGCATTATTGTATGGCTTTCTACTTACCATATTATTCTTTTTTCCAACCTCAAAAAAAAAAAGATATATATAACTAGTTTGACCTAGTCATTGCATCCCCAGGTTACTTTCCAGGACAGAAGCCAGATGTGTTTCTACTTAATTATACAAAGGGACACATTGGGCCATTAAACCAAGCCGTATTGGTTGCCAGAGTTTAATGTAGACTGGAGTGAGTCTATATGGGATCACAGCCCTTTTATTTTCAAAATGATCCGTAATTTATTTAAAACTTTATATGTATTTGGGATGAAATATATGCGAGATAAACACACAAAAAAAGCTACTTTAGTTACAGACTTATTCACCAAAGAGTTTTCATTTTATCTTATTTTCTGTTGTTTCTCAGGACAGAATAACAGTTTCTTGTTTATCTGTGTTCTCTATAAATGTGTAAGGATGTAAGTACGCTTAAACACTAAATATTTTATTTTACCTCAGTATTCCTTTGTAATATTAACCCATGAAAATCCAGGTGGTTGGAAAGTATTATATTGTGTTTGGAGATTAGATTCATTTGTTTATGCAACCATATGTTTATTTTATACCAATCAATATGGAAAACCATAATAAAGCTAAATGAAAACATTGAGTTGTTTTCCTTTCCTTCGTAAATATGAGTTAATTGTTGACTTTCCTTGATACATATTAAACTGCTTTTTGACAGATCTATTCTTGCTTATCCTTTCTTGATGTTTTTGAGTTTTCTTTATATAAATTATATTTTATACATTACACAAATTTTCTATTGAAAACTGTGTCAGAGCAACAAAGAAAAAGTGTTTTCTATAAGACTATACCAGGACTATGGCAGTTTATTATTGAACTTGTAAAGCTAGAAAAAATGCAAAATAGACACTTTATGGTTCTCCAAGAAACGAAGAACCAAGATCAATGCAAAGATTGCTGGCAATTATTGCACTGAAAATTCACACACATAGCAGTTTATAAATAAAATTCCATTAAAAGGTTATATTTAATCGGTTTCATTAAAAAAGGCAATATGAATTCATGTAAATTTTGCCCCCCCCAATCCCTTGCTCGTTATTTGGGGGTGGGGCCTAGGAGACGGAGATTGAGGCCCAATGTAGGGCCTCAGCCCTCGCCTCAACACATTTTGCATGGTCTTTTCTTCTCCCCTTTCCTTTTCTAAGGTCATTAGCGACGTATATAAAACATACCGATAGGGTAGGGCTTGTGGGCAAAGCCCCCAGGTAATTTTTTTTTGTACAGTAAGGCAATGTTTGTGGACTTCCAGAAATCAATGGTCAATGGTCAAAACAAACGAATGTACCTGGCATCAAAGGTTACACTGCATTATGGTAAAGTATTTTGGCGAAATTGGTAAATATGAGCTAACGATTTGGAAAAGTGGACAAAAAGGGATGAAGAATGAAAGGAAAAGGAAAGAGGGAGAAGAAAAGACCCTGCAAAATGAATTGAGACGAGGGCCGAGGGTTAGTCTCCGCCTCCTAAACTCCTCACGGCTGTTCATGTATTAGTGGAGCGGTAATTAGAAAATGAAGTGCGCTGGACTTAAAATATATTAACGCTTGTGTCATTTGATTAGAAAAAAATGGACATCTCGAGAATATTGTCTATTTTACTTTTAGCCAATCTGTTTTAATGTCATTTTAACACATTGCCTGTACTAGTAGGACCACCATTTATGTAGCTAGTTGTATGAGGTGCCAAATATTTCGCTGAATATTGATACCCGAAATGAATTTGTCTTGTAAAGACGCTTCACGATATAGCCCCAGAGCTATCGAATTTCTCGTTATTGCACGCGTTACAACAACAACATTTTTGGATAAGTGGACAGAAAGGGATGAAGAATTAAAGAAAAAGGAAAGAGGGAGAAGAAAAGACCCTGCAAAATGAATTGAGACGAGGACCGAGGGTTAGTCTCCGCCTCCTAAATCCTCACGGCAACAACAAGCCGCTAATGACCCTGATGTTGACGCTGCAGATTTTTTTCAATGAAGGTAAGTTTTATATATAATCAGAGATATACATCGGGAAAATACCGAAACGTTAATTGTAAAATTATTCATTTAGATGCCCTCAATACTGTCGCAGAGAGCTGTTCATGTATTAGTGGAGCGGTAATTAGAAAATTAAGTGCGCTGGACTTAAAATATATTAACGCTTCTGTCATTCGATTAGAAAAAAATGGACATCTCGAGAATATTGTCTATTTTACTTTTAGCCAATCTGTTTTAATGTCATTTTAACACGTTGCCTGTACTAGTAGGACCACCATTTATGTAGCTAGTTGTATGAGGTGCCAAATATTTCGCTGAATATTGATACCCGAAATGAATTTGTCTTGTAAAGACGCTTCACGATATAGCCCCAGAAATATCGAATTTCTCGTTATTGCACGAGTTACAACAACATTTTTGGAAAAGTGGAGCTACTGCCAAACTCCTGATTTTGACTTTATATTTTGCCTCTAAATGTTAAAATTAAGTTTGGCCATGCGACCTGTAAAAGAAGGAAGATACAGATACATAAAAAACGTACCCGTAAAACACACTCCACACGTCTCGAATACGTACTTAACAGTTATCTTATTAACTGTGCTGTATATTTTTAAAGTTTTTGTTATCTAATAGGTTATCACTAAAGTTATTAATCTAACTCAAACTACTTCGTATCACTGTAATTAATCTTTTGAATTAATGCCATACAGTGGTAGGTGATCAGATAAAATTGAACAACTAAATTGATTTGTTACTTGCCAGGAATTGGTAGTCATGTAATAAAGTAAAATGAAATAGAAAAAAATATATGAAATAAAATAATATGTTTGAATAATAATAAAGCTGAATAATAATAAAGCAAAATAAAATAAAATAAACACATTTTAAAATAAAACATACAACCAAAAAATCAAATATATTAAAAATAGAATAGAAAAAAGTTGCATGAAATAATAAGATCAAATAATAAAACGTAATAATGAAAGAGTACGAAAAAAAATGAAGCAGTGAAAGGAAACAATAAAATAAAACAGTGAAACAGAAGAAAAAATATCTATAATGTACAAACAAGAAAAAAGGATGACAATGAAAAAAAGGTAAAAATCAAAATAAAATAAAAAAAAACTATAAAAAATGTAAAAAATGTAAAAATAGATTTGAAGAATACGATATAAAGTTTACAAAAGTTGATGACGACGATGACGATATTGTCGAAGGCGGTGACGGCGATGATGGCGATGATGATGACTACGATGATGATAAAGTTACCAATTACATAAAATTTAAAATAAAAAATGGTAATAAAACAGATAAAAGAAAAATATAATAGATCATTAAAACAAATAATGGCGATGACGATGATGATAATGATAATGATAACGATAACAATAAAGAAAATAAAGATAGGTAAAGATAAAGATAAAGATAATATAAGATTGCAATAATGATAATGATAGTGACGGTAGCACTGCTAACACTGACGCTAATGTCAATAATGATAATGATAAAAATTATAACAATGATTATAATAATGAAATTATGATTTTTTTTTATTAACGAATTTATGATTTTTTTTTATTAACGAATTAATAAATCAACATTTTAATTAATCCATTAAATGAAAAAAAGTATAAAAACAATTAAAACAGAATAATAAAATAAATAATAATTATATTAATGAGAAAAATAAATAATGGGAATAGTAAAAATAAAAACAACAATAATATAAATGATGAGAGTGATGATGATAATGATACTAACGACAGCAATGAAAATGATAACAATTATGATTATAACCATAACAATAGTTTTAATAATAATAATAATAATAATAAAAATAATAATAATAATAACACTAATGATGATTATAACACTAATAATAAACCATTAGGACTATCATTACAATATTAATAACAAAAAAATAATGACAGTAACAACAATAATAATAACATGAAATAAATACTCAAATATTGATGAATATCAGGTATAAAGTAAGGGCATAGAACGCCTTGCAATCGACGCTCAATGTGGCTCGCGATGTTAAGAGGTCGAAATACACTGATCTATGACTAAAGGCGTTTTTTAGTATAAACGGGAAGATCAACGCGTTAGTCTTTTCTCAACACCACCAGTCAGGCGTCATCATTTTCGAAGATCTTTGATAAACTGATCTTTTATGGTATGATCATGGATTGTCTTTATTATATATATTCCCTAATGTATAACAAACATTACGATCTTTGGGTCTTTAGTTGCGCTACTAAAAACGTCTTGATTGTAGTGACATCTTACCGTTGAATTTTTTTCTCATTTCATACTTTCCACTTCACAATTCGGTTTATTTTCCAGACAATATCGACCAACG